TAGAATCATGTTGGGCCGGTGGAACATGTTAGAAGATTGGACGTCGAGCCGGAGGATTGGTCGACGTATCGACAGAAGGCTTCAAGCCATGGATTCGGGCATCGGACTAAGAAGAGTAGATATTACGCTAAGGATATCGGAGTTGCAGAGTCAATTGGCCGATTGGGCAATGGGCCGCAAGAGAGGACAATGCGCCAAAGAATCGGACGAAGCGTCGATGGACCAATGACATGTCGGACAACATGATTCAAGCTTAGTAATAATTGTCTAGATCGAAATATGTTTTTTATATGTATAGGATTAACTATGATAGCAAGGAATAAAGCAAAATGAAGTCCCGGAGTCAAGAACGCGATTTCGTTGGGAGTTCGAGAGTTCGTCGGAAGTTCTACCCGAACCAATCGAGAAGTCCAGGAGCTTGCCAAAGAAGCTCATCGAAACTTGCCAAGAAGATTATCATGAAGTCTAGGAGCTTGCTGGGAGTCCATTGGAATATTGCCAAGAGATCGTCAGAAGTTCACCGGAAGATTGCCGGAAGCTCGCTAGAAGAAACTAGACTTACAGACTTGTTTAGCTTAATAAATGTCTTAGATTTTGTAGTTAGCACATAATTGAGATTGAAATTGGGCCAACCCAATTAGGGACCAGTTGGGCCCATGTAAGGACTATGTTAGGCCCAATGAAAGGCCCAAACAGTGACCCAAGAAATGGCACCGTCGTGGCATAGTCTTCGAGACTGTGTCGGGCGGTGGTACAGCTAGTCTGGGCGGTGGTACCGCCCTTGGCAGGGTGCCAAGCGGTGGTACCACCCAGTGCCAGGTGGTGGTACCGCCAGACTGGGCGGTGATACCGCCCAACGTAATGTCAGTGTCAAACTGACACTGGCGGTGGTACTGCCTAGCACAGGCAGTGGTACCGCCCAAATCCAGGAAACCCGAGATAAGATGTTCTTAGGCTCTAAGTTTGAATCAACTTGAGGCCTATAAATACCCCTCTCATCCTTGGTTAATATACACAAGCACAGAGAGTTTAAAAGTGAAGAAACGCTATTGCAATCACTTAAGAAATCCCCTCCTCTAGTCTAAGTCTAGAATTCTGTTTAGGAGGAGTATGTGTGCTTGTAAAGGTTATCTCCTAAACCTGTAAAAATGAGAAGAAGGGTGTAAAAGTTGGTTGGTCTTCGCCTATTGAAGGAAGACTAATAGTGGATGCCGGTGGCCTCGACGGAAGAGGAATCGGCAAAGTGGATGTAGGTCACGACGATCGAACCACTCTAAAATCTGGTTTGCATTTCATCTTGAGTAATTTACTTTACTGCAAACCATTTTACTTGCTTACTGCCTTCATATATTTACGAACATGCTTTGAAGTTAAGCATTTCTGAATTTGGCTTTTATCATATGAAAAGTTTTTGGATCCGACGTATTTTACCGCTGTACTAATTCAGCCCCGCCCCCCCCCCCCCTCTTAGTGCCGACTCTTTTCCTAACACAGTGAACTCATTCTCCAATTAGTACTTACACTATATCCCTAGTGTCCCCACATAAGCAACTATGATACCAATCGCCTCCATCATATGGACGAATATATTACATACAAGTCTATTCAGTTATCTCGATGTCCCTCAAGTGACCTATGTCAGAGATTATTTAGGATTTGTATTTAAAGGCGAATCGATCTCATTATCGTGATCTCACCACGATCTGATTCCCATTGTATATATTCATGAACATCACAATATATGTAACATGTAATATAAAGTGAGAAAAATATCAAATATATAATAAGCAAAAAGAGTATGTATCATGTCAAACGTGCCATCAGTTACATAATTAGCTTGCAGGGCACCTATGAATATCATTTCATACTCCTTAGGGCTCATTTTGTAGACTACCTTATTATGTAGCATAACCCGTGGAGTAAGATCAATATGATGCTAGATGTCTCTCAAAGGTGGAAGGCCTTGTGGAATATTCTTTGGTATAACATCTTGAAACTCCTCTAGGCTTCGTTTCACGATTGCTAATGGCTCCTTATGTTATTTATTATCCTCTACTATTACTAGAGCCCAAACATTACTACTCCTTTCTAATTCACCCTTGCATTCACCATAGGACATAAGAGCACTAACTTCCTTCTTTGGTAGACTGGTTTCAGAAGGTTGTCATGGAGCAACATCACACCATACTTCATCTTTATAATTCTTACCAATAAAAAGTGAAATTAAATCTTTTAATTATCTTGATATAATTTTCTTTTTTGTAGCCAACATAATTGATAAGGATATGGATGAGGGATTGTGTTCAACTTTAGTTTTTGCACCATCTTCAAATGTACTATATTCTCAAAGTTGCTACTATCAATGATCACCAAGCATACCTTATCGTGAGAAGTGCATTTGGTGTGAAATACATTCTTTCTCACCTTACTTTCATCCTTAGCCATACAAGACACTTTTAAGCCACGTTGTACCATAATAGATATATCATGATCAACATAAGTCACCTCTTCCTCCTTCTCATCATCATCATATTCTAGTTTGTTATTGGCTTCCTCTCCTTCTTCATCACTATGATCTTCAACCAAGTTAATAATTCTCTTATTTGGACAATCTAAAGCAATATGCCCACCATGATATTTGAAGCATTTTCAACCACTGGTGTAGAAAAATTAGGTATTTATTTATTGCTAACTGATCCTTCACCTTTGTTTTTTTGACACCACCTTGCTTTGGAGAGTAGATTTGGAATTTTCTCCTCTCGCATAATCTTCTTTTGACCCATATTGAGAACCCTTTTCAAACTTCTATTACTTCTCAACTTTTAAAGCCAGCTTACTTGTATCATTCAAAAACCAATATAGCTAGAGTTAAACTACTTTAGCAATATCATATTTCAGACCTCCTAAGTATCTTGTAATGGTTTGCTCCTCCGGTTCCACAAGCTCTCCTTTTAACATAAGATTATCAAACTTTACTATGTACTCCTCTATACTAAAATATTTTTTCTTGAAATCATAGATTTTGAGAAAGATCTATTATCTATAGTTGTCAGGCAAGTATTTTCTCTTCGACTCTCTTTTCATTTTCTCTCTTATTACGATCTTACTCTTCCCCTCACGTTTTCTTTGCTTTAAGTTTTTCCACTAAAAAGATGTATTCCTTTTGAGTTTGAGTGTCATAACCTTACATTCTTTTGTTTTAGTAGTTCATGAAACTCGAACATTCTTTTCACTATATTAAACTAATCAATAAAATCATCAATATTTATTTTACTATTAAACTCTAAAATATCTAACTTTGAATTGTATTTGTTCTATCACTCGTCTTGATCTCTATACCTTACTCAGTATCTTCCTAACTCTCTTAGGTGAGGATGAGGATGTGTATTATCATTAGAACCAAACTCTTTGGCATCATTTTCATGCTGATTATTTTTTCTCCAAAGTTGTTTAATGATTTCATTCCTTTCTTGTAGACTACTTAGCAATCTTTATAGTTGCAACATCAAAGACTCAACATTATTTTCATGGTCACTATCTTCATCAATTATATCTTTTCAATCCCGTCGTGTCATAATCTTTAGTTTTTAGCTTTGATACCAAATTAATACCAGGATAATAAGGAATGGAATTTGAAAGACTCATAGTTGAATTTATTGGAAACATTCTTGGAATAGAGATAAATAGATTTAGCAATTTTAAAATCACAAAGGAATATAAAAACTCATCACCTTAAGGATAATTAAATAAGGATACAGAGCTTAAAAATAACTCACCACTCAAGAAAATATCCAAAAGATATAAAAACTAAACCGATCACTCTATGGTAAACCAAAAAGTTAGAGAGTTAAAAGAGAAAACTCAAAAAGTTTATGTAAATACAATCAGATTTTACTCGTTTCTAATTCTAAAACACCAAAATAAATACTAGTGTATCAAATAATCCTTCAAAAACTATGAAATTTATTATTTTATTATTGATATCTAAGTCTTTTAATGCATTATTGGTCATAAAAATAAGTTGAATTAACTCTCTTTGAAAATCGACAGAGAATCGATCAAGTTCAACGAATCTACCTACTAGACCAACTATTAAAGAAACATTCTTAACTTTTTTTTTATGAAAATGCTTTTGACTTGTTTTAAAATAAGTTAGAAAGTTAAGAGTGTAAGTTTTTTTAACTTATAAAGACACGTCCCTTAATTCTTTAACAATTACTCAATCAAGTTGGGCATTAATCTACAAGTTTAAAAACTGGACTTATAAATTATTTAGCTTATGGGTTGTTATATTTGAGGAGGTGTAGATTAAATATTATGGGATAAGCATTGTGGGCTATAAATAATACCATAGAATTAGCAAGATTTGACTCTCGTGTAATTAGAAAATGTGTTATTGATCATCTCCGACGTGAAAAAACCTGTTGGTATCGATAGAGGTTGATGGTCATGTGAATCATGGAAAACATGCTCTCCCATTCAACTTATAGCTCAGCATATCAAATATGATATGATTGTAATCCCCGATCATCATCTAATGGCAAAGTAGAATTAGAAAATTGAGCTATTGACCTCTCTCCATTGTGGAAACACCTGTAGGTATCGATAGAGCTGATGGCCATGTGAATCATGCAAATCATGCTCTCCCATTCAATGATAGGATCGATAAGATTTTGTGGAAACACCTATCAATATCAGAAAACTCTAATGCTCTTTTTTCTCGGCTGTTTTTGGCTATTTGTGCTAGAATTAGAGGGCTGATTGAAACTTGGGATAATGAAAGATGTTGGCTTCACTTTGGATCGATATTGACCTCAGTACTGAAGTGCAGAACATGAGCTGCATCGATGAGATGGTTACATGTAGATGGCAGATAGCGGATATCGTTGACCAACAAAGGCAGTAAATCTGCTATTCTCGTTGACTGATGGGTAAGAGACGCAACGCGTGCCAACAATAAAGATTTGGGGTGTTGGATGCTTCTGTAGGTCCGAGCCACCACTCGGTCAACCTTCTTCTAACTCTCCTGTAGATTCTGTTCTTCCTCCACCTCCTCAAGTAGACCACCATTCATCGCAGGGAAACGGGAGCTTTACCCTTCTACCTTCGATTCGTCTTCTCTGTCAATATTTCAATGTATTTGACCTGGTAGCTGGTGCCTGCAGGAGATACAGTTCCCATTTCAAGCACCCAATTTAAGTCCGCGCCCTTGGTTATCCTGCTGCCCTCTAAAGCAGTCCTCCATGAACATGGAGAAGGAGGAGATATGGAGGCTGGTCTTTGTGTTATTCCTTGGCCAACTGGTTTCTTTCTTCCTTGCGGTTGCCAGCTTCACTTCTTCTTTAATAGCAGAGCTGGGTAATCTTTGCATCAGCGGAAACTCCATAATCTCTCTGCTTCTTTGTACTGACTTCATGGTTTGCATTTGAAGGTACTGATGCACCACTCACGCAGTCTTTCTTCACATACCTTTCCCTGTCCCTAGTTTATGGTGCAGCTTTCCTGTACCGGCGTCAGAAGCTTCTGGTGAGGCTTTGTTCTCTAACATATGCATCTGAGCTTGACAAGTTCTGTCACTTTCTATCTCATTCATGCCTTTGCTACTGGGATTTCCAGAGCTGCATTTGGTTTCTAGGATCTGTCATATGTTTTTTGCTTGTGCTTTGCAGGTTGCTTGGTATTGGTATTTTGTGTTAGCCTTTGTTGATGTGCAAGGGAACTATTTAGGTAGTCTCTTTTTCTCCAGTTTCTAGTTGAATTTCAATCTACTTTCAAAAATATGTTGGTATCATATGAGAATATCACTGAAATGCACAAACCAAATCAGAACATGAATTTAAGCTCCTTATCATCCCTTTGTGGGACCTGTCTTACCTTTGGATCTTAGCATGCCACACAATTTTTGCTTCTCTTTCTACTCAAAAGCTTAGGAGAACAAAGATGGTGCGGGAATAAGTAGACAAAGGTGGTTTCGAAGCTCAAAAGTATCACCTTTTAAAGTGACTCATTATCTTCCCATTGAATGATTAACATGTGGATGTTCATGAAAACTTCAATGTCAGGACCACATTTAGTAATTCTAGGAGGGGGGGCATCAAGGTGCTTATTGATTTTAGAAACTTAGGTAGTTCCAAAATTTTGTGTTTTGTATCCATTGAAGTTGCCAAATTAAAGTTATAATGACCTGAGTGTATACCAATCCTCTTGTAACTTTTGGGATTCTGATATGATGGAATAAAACTGGCCTTCAGATAACTAAATTTCTTGACTAATATATAGATGCATGTATGATTTGCTCCGTAATTATTTCTCTTGTCTTGCAATTACTAAAATTCTTCTGCCTTGGTGATAACGACTAGAAAATTTGTATGTAACATCAATCTAATTTCCTCTGTCTATTTCAGTTTGATATAGCATATTGGAAGGTCAAAAAGAAATAAATAACGATGATCTTTCTAATGCAGTTATTAAGGCTTATCAGTACTCGTCAATCACTAGCGTCACACTACTGGACTGTTGGACCATACCATGGGTGATAATTCTCACCTGGCTTGTATTAGGGACAAAGTACAGTCCATGGCAATTTTTGGGTGCAGCGGTTTGTGTGCTAGGCCTCGGTTTGGTGCTTCTCTCTGATGCAGGCGTATCTGGTGGAGGTAATTAATTCACAACTCGGGTGCTTCCTGGTGATGTTTCCTTGTGCATCACCGGAAGATCAGCTAAGTGTCCTCAATCAGGCTCATTTTACAGTATGCAATTTGATCTCGAGCATTCGACAGTCATCAGCACTAGGGAGTTTCAGTGAACAGCCCTATAGCCCAATGGCCATGAACATAGTCTAAATTAAATGTCTTGCTGGCAACTATGACAACTAATTTGACTTGCAGGTGGCACAAAACCTATTATCGGTGATATACTTGTTATTGCAGGAACATTTTGTTATGCATTCAGCAATGTTAGTGAGGTTAGTCAGCGCTCTGTAATGTTTTGATCCTTCCCCTATGTATTACAGTTGGTGATTTAATACATAGTTTCACCGGTATCCTTACAGATAATTACTGATCTTAATGGCTCACTCTGCAATAACATTTAGGAATATTGTGTTAAGAAGAAAGATCGAGTTGAACTACTCACAATGCTTGGGGTCTTTGGGGTGCTAGTCAGTGCATGTGAGATGTATCCTTTCCAATATATAAAGAGGACTCAGTTCTGTTTTTCTACCCTTTTTTTTACGCATTCACTACTTTATCATCAGTTGCTTGTAGATTTTGTTTTGATATGAAGGTCAGTCAATCCTTCATATAAGATCCTTGTTATTATATTGTCAGCTATATGTGATGGTCAGTTGATCTAGATTATGCTCGATCTGGTCTAAATTCCATAACACTCTTAGATCTATTATCGAGAGGAAAGACCTTGAATCAGTTAAGTGGTCTGCCACAATGGTAAGCATTTTACACATTGGAATTATTTGCAGTATCATCTTGTGGTCATCTATATTTATGTATCGCAAGAAGCATACTAATATTATCATCAACTCTATTATATAAATTGCACCTTTTTTTTTTTGCATCAAGATATCCACCCAAAGGGCTCAGCTGTCAAGAAAAAATAAATTTTTTCTTACTTGTTGCATTGTCATTCTTTGAAGGAATTGATTATACAATTTTTCTGGTTCTACAGATATCTTTATTTGTTGGCTTTGCTGCATCAGCATTTCTGTTCTACACCGTCGTTCCCTTTGTTTTAAAGGTTAAATTCCTGCTAACTCAACTTCATGTTAGTGCCATAATAAGCAAAAACAATTACTAATTTTTCTACTTAGTATTGTCCAACTGAGATTTTCTCTGGTTCTAATAAAGTTTGGACTCCCAGAAGGTTGATTAAAGGTCCCAGTTGCACTTTACAAAACAAGATGGTCCTTTTCCAAATCACCATTCACATTTGATCCACAGATTTTACTTAAAGCTGATTGAGAAATTAGTGAGTGTAACTGCATAGTTCAAGCTGAATAAAAGTTCTGTATAGTTTCTCAACTTGATGATAAAATTCAAAATTATTCTTATATATATCTTGTGGCATTTAGAACCATAACAATTACACTAGTCCAGTTGACACTGCCACTCCGTAAGCTATTTTCTTGAGGTTTACAATTGGGTCTCTTTGCTCTTATGCATGGGAGTTTTGACATGCAAGCTTTTGTAGCCCTGCCACTCTTTTTCTTTTATTTGGTTTCTGTAACATTTCAACATATTTAGAAAATGCAGAATCCGGGAGAGATACAATGATGCTCATCATTTGGTATGAACAGCTCACATGCAGGGCTGCATCCACCTTTTAGCTTGCAAAAATTGGAATCTTCAGTGACCAAAATTGAGCAACTAAATATGTATCAGACTTTAAAAAGACTGCATGCTGCTATGAGTTTTGAATCAAATTGTTCAAGAAAAGACAATGTGCACCCCGGAACGACTCTGCATCCACTGGCTTAACTGTGCCTAATTGAAACTATGGCTAAAGAGAGGAAGTTGGACACAAAATGATTTATGATTTATGTAGCTGAACTTGTAAATTTTGCTAATTTTCTCTTTTGTTTGACACTTTCACTTGGGCACCACAATTTACATCTAAGCAATTACATATCTGATGTATAACACAGTGAGGACTGATAAGCCTCATCCATGCAGATGAGTGGAGCAACTTTGTTCAATCTCTCTCTTCTTACATCCGATATGTGGGCGGTGGTCATTCGCATTTTCTTTTATCATCAACAGGTATGCCTTTATTCCTCTCCTAGGTCATACCTCAATTAATGGATTATGCTTCATTGATGATGATTTATTCATGTTTATTTCAGGTGGATTGGTTGTACTATCTTGCATTTGGCCTGGTTGCTATCGGGTTGATTATCTACTCAGTGCAGTAAGTTCTATTTCATGCCAAAATGCCCCAGAAACAATACAAATGTCATAATATCATGCAAATCGAAAGGCTAAAGCTTGATTCTGCTTTGTCCAGAATCTAAAAGCTTTTGTCTCATATACTCTAAAATGTTTCAATTATCACTAGTGATAGCAAAAAGGCCAATGGAACAACCAACGAAGATGAGTCCGAATCTTTACAGTATGAACAACTTGCCGAAGAAAGTTCAGCGATATATAATGGCGTTTTAGCAGCCTGATTCTGATACATCTACTGGTTCAGAGATCAAGGAAGCTGCATATGGTCCAAGAATGCAAGACTGGAAGTTAACTGAAGTTTTAATGTCATCAGTTCGATTAAAGACAGTGAAATTTGTATGATTTCAAGATTTGGGGAACGGATATGCTAAATAGAAACATAGATTGTAAATATGAAATAAAATTTATTTTTGACCAGCTTGACCTCTCTCAAGTAGCCACATGTAATTCCACTAAAATTAGATAGTGGTATCTTTTATGAGGGTTGAGTAGCTTCTCTAAATCAAGTTTTGGTACAATTACTCATTGTATTAACTACTTGTGGTTTATTTAGTTACCTTTAAATCATCAATTAGTGGCGTAGCGCCAATATAAATTCGTCACATCGTTCAACTTGAGTAGATAATTGTATAAGTTTTGAATTAGAAGTAGTCTATGATTAATTGGTATCCTACCATTATAGTAATTCCCAAGTCTATTATTGTTGGAAAATAAGATCAATCTGACAAGGAAATGAGTCTACTTCTCATCTATATTTAATTTATAACAATTCAGACCCAAATCATCTGATCTCAAAAGAGAACAAAAAGCTAGAGTTCAGTCGGCTGCTCTCGAATGCGTACACTTATTATGTCCCTCTGATTATGTGAGATTTTTTTAATCTAGAAATTTGTGCATTAAATATGAAATCATTACCGACCTTTTAGATCAGCAAAAAGCTATAGACAATAAGAAGACCATGACTCTTAGGTAGATTGTCATCCTCTCTTAGCTAATCGAATCAAATATGATATCATTGTAGGCCATAGTCACTATTTTATCTTCATCTAATTGGAAAGCAACAATCAGACAATGAAGTTATTGATCTCCATTGTGGAAATACTGTTAGGAACTGACTATGTCGTCATTAAGAATTGAACCAAGTAAAACGTGCTCTCTCGTTCAAGCAGAACGCAAAGCCACCTAAAGAGGTCTCTCTCAAGGTATAGCTGATAGGATCGATATGGTTTTGTGAAAGTACCACTGCTCATCGTTTGGGTACCTGTGCCAGAATTAGAGGACTGATTGAGACTTGGGATAGTGAATGATGTTGTCTTCGTTACAGAGTACCGGATTTGAGCTCCGTAAATGAGAGATGCCGACACTGTTGTGTCTGTCAACCATAAGGAGACGGAGAGATGTTATCGAGAGAACTTCTCTCGCAGCTACTTTTCTCGTTGACTGATCAATAAGAGATACGAAAAGAGGCCCAGAACGAGTATTTCGAGTGTCGGATTCTTCCGTCCGTCACAGTCTCACACGCCACTCGGTCAACCAGCGACCAACTTTCAGCACTGCTTGTTCTGTCTCCCTCTTCTCAAGCAGACCACTATATCTGGCAGAGAAAAGGTACACTTACTCTCGTCTTCTCCTTCAATGTACTTGACATGGTAGCTGGAGCTTAAAGGAGCTACGGTTGCCATTTCAAGCATCCAAGCTAAATCTGGGTGCTTGCTTATCCTACTTCCCTGCTGCCCTCTGCAGCAGTCCTCCAAGAACATGGAGAAGGAGGATATTGGGAGGCTGGTCGTCGTATTATTCCACGGCCAACTGGTTTCTTTCTTGCTTGCGGTTGCCAGCTTCACCTCTTCTTTAATGGCAGACCTGAGTAATCTTTTCATCAGCTGAAAGTCTATGATCTCCCAATTGCCCATCCAAATCTGTGTCTCTGTACTAACTTCATGGTTAACTCTTTCCATTTGAAGGTACTGATACACCACTCACCCAGTCTTTTTTGACATACCTTTCCCTGTCCCTAGCTTATTGTCACGGACAAACTTCTAAACAAGGTGTTTGATGTAATGCTTATGTATGTCCGTGTCTTTTGGCATGTTCATGCCTTGTACAGAATGTAAAGGGGCGGTCGAAGGCTTAATAGTCTCATTTTAGTTGGGTTGGTGGCCTCTTTAGGCTTGTAAATAAAGGTTGTGTCATGTGGACACGCTCGAGAGCTTTTCGGTCTGTAATGGACCATTTTACCCTTTGTTGTGCCACTGTTCAGAGCTTGTAATAGTCTATTTGTAATTTGCATTGTCTATGAAGTGTTTTTCGGAGATGTTTGCTTGTGGATCCCGTTGGAGGCGTTCTCTCTAACCCGTTCTCTCTTTTGGTGGTCCTAAGGGACAATGGGAGGCTTCGGGGAGGCTGACCTTTGCGGACGGACGCGCGAGGGT